ACACTGAAATCAAAACATATTCAGTGTAAATATCATATTTTGAGAGAGCTTGTTGAAGCTGGAGAAATTTTGGTGTAGAACACACCTCAAGCAGATAACGTAGCTGACCCACTTATTAAAGTGATGACACAGAAGCAATTAGATCATCATCTTGAGAAGATAGGTATTAGATACCACAACGATTGGCTCTAGTGCAAGTGGGAGTTTTGTTAATGTATGCCCTAGGAACCAGTTGTCTTGTTGATTGAAGGTACTATGTTTGTATATCTATGTTAATGTATATATTTTGTATATATATTTTTATCTTATTAATAAAAGAAAGTGTTCTTATTTCACATGTGGTTTATTGCTTCATTTATATATGTATTACATGTGAAATGTCCGGATGATACAAATCTTTAGAATATCAAAATCATCAAAGTATTCCCATAGGTAATATTAATTGGGCAATAATATTACATAGTAGTTATGCTGAATGCCTCCGTTGACTATCATGTGATGGTATTAGTGTTGATGATTATAAAAGTTATATCACTAGAGCATTAGCATGGATAAGCGGTTAGTGAACTGTTTGTCGAATATGGCCATTTATAATGAATCACGTGGACATTTAGAATGTAGTCAATGATGCATCATAAGATCATACTAGTGTACTATTAATCCTTAGACCTGAGATATCACGGTTGGATTCTGCATAAATTTATATTGTTTATATGGTGTATAAACATGAGGCTAATCATGTCATGTGTAAACAAGGCAATTAGGCCATGTGTTATTTAAGACAAGTGATAGTTAAGATGGGATCTGTTGACTTGGTATAGATTGACATCAAGTTCCCAGACAAATGTCAAGATACATTGGAAAAGGGAAATCTTCAGCCAGGTATATAAAATATTACCTAAAAGGTTGTTTTATGGTGACACATTCCGTATGTATTAATTGTCAATTTGATATAGGATTAAGACAATGATTTTGACATACCATGAATCCATTCTTAATTGAGATTAGACAATGGAAAGATTTAATTACATAACACATATGATTATAAAAGGGTTCATTGGAGTATATCTTCATTGTGACTTTGGGGTTATAGAACATTGCTAGATGCCTACCATAATCGGTGGGAGTCTTGGTCATAAAGAGTTATGACGAAACATATCGGAATAGACTGTGATCTTGGGCCCACGGCTAGGCCACATTGAACTTATGATGTCATACATAAAAAATAAGGAGAACGGAGAAATAGTCAAAGAGAGTTGATTATCCAAGGTGGCTAACACCTACCAAGGGTAATAAAGTTATTTATATTATTATCATTGAATTAGATTCAATGGAGGGTTGTATTAGTTATTATGAATAATTTAAGAGTTAAATTGCTAATTAGAATTAAATGGAATTCCAATTCATAATTAATCATTTTCTTTATATTAAATTGGATTTAATAATGGGTTGTAATTGTAAACATATAAACAATTTAAGGGTTAAATTTTCATGTAAACAATTTAAGAGTTAAATTGTTAATTATGATTAAATGTTAATCCAATGTTATTATTTAAAAAAGTTAATAACTTCATAATAAATTATGGAATTATTTTCAACTCCAAAACAATTATGGAATTTGTTTAAGAAAGTCCAAAACAATTATTGAATTGTTTACAAGGCTACATATATAAAAAAAAATGATATATCAATTTTAATGAAGATATCAAAAATTTCTAAGAACTCTAAATATCTTTCTTGCCTAATTCTTCTTTTACCTTAGTGTGGATACTCTTTTATTTAATTTCTCTTGAAATTAAAAGTCTCCAAGGTTGTTAAGGATTTAAGATAACAAGCTATACCTTACTTGTTTTCAATTTGATTAATTTTTTTTTTTGCAAAATACTAATCTACATACTATAGTATCACATGCATCATTCTTCATGCATAATGCATTCCAACTCATGACCTCGCACATGTAAAATATTAAGAATGTCTTAGAAATTACATGTGATTGATTATGAGAGTTGTATATGGAGCTGAGATAATATATATTTGTAGAAACATAAATAAAATATTGATAAGAGAGATTTTTATAATAGTTCGGATGCTTAAAATGAATCTTGCATCCACTGTTATTTTATTATTCTCTAACTATTTTTTCTGATATTGCCTGTAAGACATACAAAAATGGAGAAATTATTTATTTACAGAGAAAAAATAATAAAGCTCAAATGTATGTCTAGTTCTCATATGCCCAGCTAGCCCATTTTTCATGAAGAGAGATGCCCATCTATACACCTTTGAGCTCAACATAATGAGTGATTTTGTAGGTTGCCTTGACACATGGAAAGCTCTCATTCATCCTCATCATTTATTTTGTAAAGGTGAGACATGTGTTATTTAATATCTCTTTGAAGCGGTTTGAGTTTTGATAGCTAATACACTTTGTCTTTTAGGTATTGCTGACATCAGTGTGAATTTTTAGGCATAACAAACTAGAAATTGTCGCTTTGTTCTTTTATTTTTCCATGTTTCGTTTTTTTTTTTACAACAACATTATGAAGAACTCATAGTCAGTAGCATTTCGATCATGGATAGCATGAACGTAGTAGAAGCAAAGAAATTTATTTCATCAATCTACTCATCCATCATCGCCACGGTAACATTTTAATTAACTCTTTATTTAATTTAATTCATTGTTCGATACTAACACTATATATTTTTGTAACTTTGGGCTCTAAATTTGTAGGGTTTGAGGTTACTTATAACCAAATATAAGAAACAAACACTGGATTTGTTTTTTCTTTCGTTAGAGATGGTATCATTTGTACTAGATCTCTTTGGGAAAAACAAATGTATTTTTCTTCTTTTTGCATTTTTATTGTCGGCTTCTAGCTTGTTATGATTGTTTACAATCGAATTATGGGAAGAACAAAAAATTAGAAACAAAAATTACAATCTGCGAGAGGCAACTTGAGATGGTGGAGATTATGTTCTCAATAGTTCAGCTGGTTGCTACATTTGTTCATCTTATTTTGGCGGCTGTTGGTATCAAGAACAATTACAATGTATCCGTTTTTCTTCTAGCTTTAGCCTTTGTTTTTGAAAACAAGGATGAAGAGTTTACTCATGGTGATGATCAAGGTATGAATTTAAACAAATTTTAGTTTATTTAATTATATTTAAGTTCTTAAAACTTTATTGGATATGATTTGAATGCCTTACTATAACATAGAATTAATATTGCTTAAGATATATAGAGACGGCAAATACGATGGGTTTACACACTAATTTGATAAAACTTTTTTTTGAAAATAATATATACTAATATAACTTTATCAGATTGATATAAAGATAATGTGATAATTTACTAATTAATCATGTTTCCATTGGATGACTAATTATTAATGGTATTTGCCAGGACCATGTACTAGTTAAGTCCTCAATATGGCCAAGTCTTTTTAAGTCAGTCAGTCCTCAATTCCATGTAGCTAGTATGTGAAGATATATTCTATTTGCCAAGACTATGTTGACTTAAAAAAGACTTGGCCATAAAATTGTCCACATTGAAAACCGAAATCAACTACATGGAATAATTTATTATATTATATTAATTAAGGTTTATTATCTGTCACACTAAGGCTTGGCGTAGTAAGTTTCCACCTTGGTTTTGAGAAACTAAGGGAGAACAACATTTTCCCACCTAAAGTTTGGTGAAACACCCTTCCCACCCGTCAAGTATCAAAATGACACTTTCTCACCATTCGTCAGGTTCTATTAGTGTTTTCTATTAATAGTTGGTTGAAAAGACGAAAATGCCCTTAAATAATTTATTTCTTAATTAGTTTATTATAAATTAAAATTTAGTTAAGTCAAAGTTTTTACTCGATTATTTATTAGTTCAAGTGTAATGATATTTTTTTCCTTTATTTATTTAATTAATTAGGAATATTTATTTTCTATGTTAATTTGTAAAAATGAAAAACAATGTATTATGAAAAACTTTATAAATTTAATAGATTATTGAATAATAATGATGATATTATAAATAAATAAATAAATACTAAAATAATTTAATTTTAAATAATTCCATGGTATTATTTCCAACTTTTTAAGTGAAGTCAACTATTTTTTTTTTTACTTTTTAATATTTAATTTTTTGACTAATTAAAAAATAATAAAAACTTACAAAGTCAAATATTTAAAAATATTTTTATCTTTTCAGTAAAATATTAACAAAAACATGACAGAACCTAATGAAAACTAATGAAAAGTAAGAAAGTGCCGTTTTGCCAAACCTTGAGTGAGGAAAAGTCGCTCTCGTAGAAACTAATACTCTCATCTGTCAGTTAAATATAACGGTATAAGGGATAAAAAAATGTATTTTAAATAAACAGGTGATGATTTTGGACAGATACATTGTTGACTGTCTTAGACAAATAACTAACCATTTAGATAATATTATCTTTTCTACCAACGATTTATTCATATTATCTTTTCTGACACAAAACCTTCATTTAGGGTAGTTTCTCAGAATTGATGGGGTATATACGCGAAACCTCGGTGGTATTATTGTTTCCATTTTGTATTTCTTGTACTCTCTAGTTTACAACAGAAGAGTAGCCTTTGCAGACCCCACAAAGAAGTCTAGCTGCAACAGAGTTTCCCTATACCACCGTACACGTTTGAGACAAAATGAAAACGTTGAATGATTGGTACAGAACTTCAGTTTAGGATAATGAATGTAGCAATGTATTAAAGTACGGAAATCAAATAATGTGTTTAAAAAATATTCTAACACTAATTCTAATCTTACCTTACTATGGTCAAGATTGCTTATATTTTCTTTTCTTTTTTTAAATAGAGAAGCGAATCTAATACAAAAACGAAAAACATTCTTTTAAAATTCTTTTATAAAATAGATTATTCCATAATCTAGAGCGTTTGATAAACTTACTTATCTCTTAAACTACAACAACCCCAAACTGGATCTTAAACACCAACTTATTCAAAGAAAAGAACGCAATTTCTTTCGTAGAAGACGATTCACGGCTAAAGAAGGAAAATCTTCAATCAGGCAAAACCAAAGCGTATATGAAAGACAATTTCCAAAAGATACAACCTTTTGTTTGTGTAATTGATAATTGAAGGCTGCAAGAAATAAGTGAAGTGAATTTCTAAATGAACGGCTATAGGGAATCAATAGCTTGGTCTTACCTACATAAATAATAAGCCTTTCTAGTGGTTAGAATCTATTATCTTAGCCTAAAGAGCAGCATCACAAAGCAGAGTGGTTCACCAGGCAATTGAGGTGCGACAGAGAAGGGAAGTATGGTTCACTTTATCTATCTCCGACTTTGACAAAGGAAGAGTAACTCTGGTTTGGTCAATGATATGCAACTCATGCCGACATGGATGTCAATAATGTTAAATAGCTGCTTTTATCATACGGTTAGAGATGCACCATTGTCTGCCCCAGTAAGATTGAGTATCATTGTAGCTGCCTTCAAAGCCCTGAATCATAGAGGATTTGGTAAGAAACATCTCTAAGTCGGAAAATAATGGAAAGTAATATGATCTAAAGTCCAACCAATAAAATCAAATATTGCACGAGCCAGTGAAAGAGATCCATAAAGTTGCTGAAGACAAAATAGAATGAAAACTGCCTTTTTTTTTTAATCCAAAGTAAAAGAGAATAACATACCATGCATCAGGTGCCTGGTATAAGGCAGCTGAAGTGCCAAAGCATGATGCAAGCATGTCAGTGTTTATGACACCAGGATTTAAAGCAACGACTGCCATCCCATCAGGTAATTCCTTTGCCACTGATCTGGATAATCCTTCAACAGCCCATTTCGATGCACAATAAGGTGCAACCTGATGAAATATAAATTGATTTTAAGCACAGATCATCATAGTAGTAAAGGAAATCTGAAAACCAACATTATCATGATCCAGAGAATAAAAGGAATAAGGCTATCATACAACACTCATGAGATTTAAGTCTCATTTAGAACACATGCTTCAGAACTTGATAAGAAAATTTCTGTTCTACAGGGGTTGATACTTAATATACTAAAGAGAATAAAAAATACATGGAAAAAGAAAAAACATTACTGATGCATCCAAGCATCTAATATATAAGCCCAATAACCAGTTCCACTTGTAATTTATTGTTTCTGCCAATACTGCTGTCAAACACGGAGAACTAGAATTATAATTTGTACTGAGGAGTAATGCAAGATAATTCTATGAGAGAATTTCCATTTAAGTAACAATATAGAATGATACTACTAAAAACCAATAATGAATATAATTTATCATATTCAAGAAACATAAGTGTATTTGAGAACAGAGACAGTGAACATGTCAATTTACCAGGGCAGCACCAGATCTTCCCCAGCCAGAAGACATATTAACAATAATCCCCTGCTTTTTCGTGATCATCAGTGGGATGAAGTGACGCAACACATTTGCTATCCCTTTAACATTAGTATCGATAACAGCATCAAATTCTTCTGGGGGAACCTCCCATATCTTGTTATTTTTATTAATGGTACCTGCATTATTTACTGGAAATGCCTTCAAGTCAGTTTTGTTATTAAAAGAAGGGGATGAATCCAAGAAAGAAAAACAAAATGGCCTCCCTGTACATATCAATATAAGTAGATTCAAGCTGCCTTAACAAATCTAGTGGACAGTTCCAGTCTATTTTGGTGAAGTTCTCCAAAATGAAAGAGTCTTTAATCCCAACCAGGATGGCAGTTGAATTACACTGACATGTGGATGATGAGATAAAACAACGATTAATATATACCCACATATCATAACATTTCAAATACCACCTCTGTCAAGTTGGGATGCCTAATATTACTTTGAAATTCAAATCTAAACAAGCACATGATTGGTTCTGGCTAAAAAACTCCAATAACACACTTTAATAACCAAGTCATTCAACATCTTGAGTCACATGCTAGAAAAAACACTTAACTAAGCAAGAAATGATATTGAGAATTCATATACCTACAATATCCGGAACACCGTTTTTCTCCGCCACAACGCGCGCTAATTCTTCGACACTACTATTTGACTTCTGTAAAAACCATACCAAAACAATCATGCTAATCTCAGAAACCACTTCCAAAACACCCCAACAAGTACACAAACTAATAAATACCCAAAAACTAAGCAGAACACATCAAAACACTCATTTCCAACTCTTTAACATCTCTTAATAACTATAATTATCCTTAAAATGTCAGATAAAGAGCAAATTCTAAAAGAGAAAAGAATTCTGATAATACCAAACCAATATGTGTACTAACATAAAATAAAATAAAGCTGAAATTGCAATATTTTTTTTTCTCATGTCCTCATTTTCCATTTTATAAAACTTAAAACAGTTTAAATAAAATTTTTGATGAATATCTAGAAAACTAATAACGTATTAACTTTATTCAATTTAATTAATTAAAATCTTCCTTTCAGAGAAAAAAATAATAATAATGAAATGTGAAATAAAAAGAGCAAAGAACTTACCACGTCAACACTGAGGAAGAGATGATTATCTGAGTTGGGGAATTCAGATTGGAGGGAGTTCAGCTGCTCTTGCGTGCGGGAGCATCCGATTACAGTGTGGCCGCGCTTGGCCATCTCCAAAGCTAGGGCTCGTCCGAGTCCTTTACTAACTCCGGTTATCAGTACTGTGCGCGAACCGCCCTTCGCTATGCCGTTGAACGGCGCCGTCGCCGCCATTTGGTGTTCGTGTTTTTGGTTCTCTCTTGATTAATCTCTGAGTTGAGCGGTTTCCGTTTCTGGGTTTAATAGGTTGCGCGCCGCTAGAATTAAGTGGCCTCTGTGATGGACACGTGTCGTGAAGAGAGATAAAGGGCAGATATCAGAGAGACCCCTAATGTTTGGCATTATACCTAGTCAGGACTTGGGGAAATATCAAACAAACCGGACCGGACGGTGACAATCTCGTCCCCATGGTTTGGATAAAATTTTTGGTCTTACAAAACTTTTTAGTAACATTTTGGTCCTCATGTTCGCCATCGACAGGGACTAAATCATTCCTGATACAATGGGAACCAAAACGTCACTAAAAATTCTAGAAATTTTTGGTCTTACAAAACTTTTTAGTAACATTTTGGTCCTCATGTTCGCCATCGACAGGGACTAAATCATTCCCGATACAATGGGAACCAAAACGTCACTAAAAATTCTATAAGACTAAAGGTTACTTAAACTAAACCTCAGTGACTAAAATGTATTATCCCAAAATCTAAATTGCTTATTTTTCAAAGCTTAGTTTACTTCACAAACATATATATATATTGAGGAATTTAATAACCAATGAAAAGTTCAATTTGATTAGTTATAATACAAACTATACAATCCAAGCATAGGGAAGATAATCATTGGTCCTGCTGTTGACTTTAATGAAGAAAACACTTGGAATTATGATGTTTGTAATAAAGACTACTACAACTTCTTTCCTTTATTTGAAGAGGATGACAAGCAACTTGATGGAGCAAACGGGTGAAAAACAACAAGAGTTGCCACCCCATCAACTTCACCGGCAACAAGTTCACACTCATCACCATGGAATTTGAATGAAAGGGTTGTGTAACGCACTAGAAGCCTACGAGATCTTTATGAATTGCCCGAACAACAAGAAAACATCATTTGCTTTATTTCTTTGCTGATTGTGAACCCATGAATTTCTAAAAGCTGTGCAAGTCAAGAAATGAAGAGATGCAATGAATATGAAGAAATCAAAGCAATTATGAATAACGACAAGTGGAAACTTGATTCACCTCCTAAAGGATACAAGGCGATAAGGGTTAAATGGGTTTACAAAACAAAGAATAATGCGAAGGAATTAATAACGATATTGATGGATACTTTCAAGAAGACAAAGTTTCACCAAAGTTTTGAAGTGAAAAAGCAAGAAGACAAAGTTTTGAAGTTGAATAAAGCCCTCTAAGGGTTGAAACAAGCACCTCGAACATGGAATAACCGTATTGATAGGTACTTTCAAGAGAACGATTTCACCAAATGTTCTCATGAGCAAGCTGTTTTATGTCAAGATCAAGAATGAAGATGTTTTGATCATTTGCTTGTATGTGGATGATTGGATCTTCACCGAAAGCAACCCAAGTTTTTTGAAGAATTCAAGAAAGCAATGGCCAAAGAATTTCAGATGACTGACATTAGGCTCATGACATACTATCTTGGCATCAAAGTCAAGCAAAGGGGAGACGAAATCTTTATCTCTTAGGAAGCTTACACAAAGGAGATCCTTAAGAAGCTTAAGATGCATGATTGTAATCCTATAAGCACACGAGTAGAGTGCTAGTCCAACAATCCATACCTGACATTCTCTATGTAGTTGGGTTAGTCGCTATATGGAAACCCCAACAACAACTCATTTCAAAGCTGCAAAGATAATCCTCTGTTACCTTAAAGGTACAATCAACTTTGACTTGCTCTATTCATCTTCAAAGGAGTACAAGCTTGTTGAATATAGTGATAGTGATTGGGCTGGAGATGTTGATGATAGAAAGAGCACTATTGGATTTATATTTTTCATGGGAGACACTGCTTTTACTTGGATGTCAAAGATACAATCAATTGTCACACTTTCAACCTGTGAAACTGAGTATGTTGCTGCCACACCTCGTGTACTTATCATGCAATTTGGTGGCAAAACATACTAAATGAGTTGAAGATATCACAAGAAGAGCCAACAACCGTTTATGTTGACAACGAGTTTGCGATTGCTTTAGTAAATAATCTAGTCTTTTATGACCAAATCAAACACATCAATACTCACTATCACGACATAAGAAAGTGATTGAAAGAAAAGAAATACAAGTAGAGTATGTGAAAACAAAAGATCAAGTTGTCGATATTTAACCTAGCTACTCAAGTACGAGGACTTTGCAAGGATGACAAATTGGTTCGGTCTTACAAAACAAGTTTAAGAGAAAACCATAATTAAACTTGTTTTGTTTTAATAATTATTATTAGTTTAGTTATTGTCCATTAAAAAAATAGAAATAACTGAATGGCTATGGTTAATAAGCTAATGATATTATTTGGTATGTACTATAGGTAATTTAAACTAGTATATATACGTCCCCGCTTCATATTTCAAATGTAAGAGAGTCGGAGGAAGAAAAAGATAAACAAACTTCTCTCATTTTTTATTAATTGTAAGCAATAAACATAATTATATATTTTATTTTTTCAACATTGGGTAACCTGAGGTTTGTTAAAGAACTGCTCCGTAGATTAATTACTTACTGTTAATTTACAGCATTATCCATAAGCACGTGCACCAGAATCAGTAAACAAAGACCAGGGCTCGTTGGACATAATAAAATGATAAGCAAAAGACTAGTATCGATTAGACTTGATCAATACGTATTTCAACAAAATTGTTGTCACAGCCCATATCAACTTCGAAACCTGTTTTGTAATTGGTAAGGTTGCCCAGGACCAGGGCAACAGTTGCCATCCAATTTGCTCCTAAATATGCCAACCAAACAATGACTTTTATCCAACTTGTTACTATATATTTTCTTCGAAAATGAAATATGGTGATGATGATTTGTAAACAAAGGCCAACTACAATGAATGCACCAGCTTCCCATCTATACCAAGCTTTTTCTAGCTCTGAAGATTGTGCCATGCCAACTTTTCTCTCAAAGATAAAATTACCTGCAAGCAAAAGCAAAAGTTTTACCTGTATATTTGATTAGTCATAGAAATTAATATTAGAAATTAAGAATAATATTATCTATTTAAAGTACATGTATAACACAACATAATTCTATTTGCATCATGTTCATAAACAAAATAAATCACTTACCTAGAAGAAGAAATTAATGCATGTACTAAAGGTCCAAACCAGTTAGAGATACAGTTGGATCGTTCTAAGACGAAATCTTTGAGGCTATCTTATTGGTATGGAAAAGAAAGAAACAATTTATGAATTAAATTGTACAAGAGAAGTTAACAAAAAGCGTAGCATGATTTATTCTTAAGTAAAGAACTTATAACTTTTATATTTTGATAAGATGAAGTGATAACTTGATCAATATATAGATTCTTGTAATTAAAAATTTAATACGCAATTTTAACTGATTAATTACTGCGTAATAATTATGCTAACTTGAATCAAACTAATTAATTAGGCAAATATAATAGAAATGTGTTTATCTTTGTAAGTAATAATTGTTGTGTGTGATTTTCCACCAAGCTCGGGCTACCGCGAGGATGTAGCTTGACCTAGGATCAATCCGACTCCACCGGTTGTCCGACCCAGTACAAGCTCGTAACATATAGCTCGACCCAACACAAGTTAGTTGCAAACAACCCGAATGATCATTCAATCAATTCCCAGATAACTTCAAATCCCTGATATTGCGGGAATGACTAGATGAACAATAATCTCTGCGCAATCACAATGTCCAATCACGAGAATATCGGAATTGCAATTCAGATCAATTGTAATCCCTTTATTTTCATTTTTTCCTTTATACAAACCTTGTATATAAACCCCTTCAAATGATGAAAAGGGGTGATGATTTTTCCACATAATTCTCATTGTAAGCTCTCGCAGCAAATACAAAAAAACAGTGGACATAGGCTCAAGAGTTTACTTCGCTGAACCACTTTAAAAATTCTCATTGTCATTTACTTTATTGCATTCAATACTTGCCTATCACTAATTATCCGTAATCATGCACACATCTATTCTGATCCCACCAAGGTCGATTGGAATTCTCTAATTGGTGCAGATTTTTGTATCAACATTTTGGCGATAGAAGGAGGGGCCCTCGCCAACATAACATCAATTCCTATAAACATTCGCGACAATCTACCCAATCCAAGCCCACAATGGTGCACACCAGATCAAAGACCACCACCAAAAACCTTGAGAATGTGGAGACCACCCACCAGGAGATACAACAAGACGCCGCTGGACACCAACCACCCGTGCCACCAACTCAGCATGTCACGAATAACCAGGAGGTAGGGACGTCAAACCCCAAAAACAGCCAGCTAGTGGAGATGATTAGAACGATGGTTGCATAGGCGGTGCAACAAAATGTGGTTGAGCTAAGGAATCAACAACCAACTGCCCATAATCTTAACCAGCCACGTTTCACCAGCGCCACCTCAACAGGTATGAATTCTGTAAGTGGCTAGTCTGGTTCATCGATGCCAAGAGGCAGCCAACACCCCCGACATCGCAAGCTACACTCTGCTCATGAGCGTGAGTCCCAAGGGCAAACTAACCCCAGGAGAAGACTGGGAAAGTAGCCACTAGGGGAGAGTGAAGACAACGGTCATCCCTAAGACACTCGGCAATATCCCCAGCGTCCGCGTGCCAGTATTAACCCATACCCAATCTAGCAATGACCGATGTTCGGTTATAACTGACGTTGCGTGCAACCAACCGACGAGCATGATAACACTTATTAACCTAGCCATAATGACTCAACCTCACACATCAATGCGCACAATAGAGGAGCTTTGCAAGCAATGGACTTAGAACTCATTTGCTCGAAGTAAGGCTGAACAGAGCCAGCTAGGGCAACCATAATGAAGACTTAAATCACGTACAGAGAATGTTTGACGATCTAAAAGCTCGCCAGAATGGCATAGCAGAGGAAATAGTAAGTTTCTCCTTTGCAGAGGAAGTTCGCCAAGCCCCGCTTCCACAAGGATTCAGGGCACCAAAAAGTAAGTTCGATGGGA